AACAAGATGAAACCAGAGAGGGAGACAAACCACAAGAGACTCTTAATCTCAGGAAACAAACTGAGGGTTGCTGGAGTGGACAGGGGTGGGAGGGATGGGGTGGCTGGGTGATGGACGCTGGGGAGGGTGTATCAGTTGTGGTGAGCGCTGTGTATTGTGTGGGACTGATGAATCACAGACCTGTACCCCTGAAACAAATAATACATTATATGTTAATAAAAAAGGTAATCTAAAAATGAAAAAAATATTTCCACAAAAATATATGGAACGTGGAAAATCATTATATGGAACACCTGAAACTAATATGACACTGTATGTTAATAAAACTTGAATTTTAAAAAATAAAAATTTTTAAAATAAAAAAATAAATTAAAAAGAATTAAAAACTATGCTGGAAAAGCTGTGGGGAAACAAGACACTCCCATACATTCCTGGTGGGAGTACAAAAAGGTACAACTTCTATTTGGCAATAATTATCAAATATTACAAATCCATGTATTCTTTATGCCAGCAATTCCAATTCTAAGTATTTACAGATACATTCATGAATAGGTAAAATATGAACAAGGTGTATAAAGAGCAAGAGGACAGAAATCTAAAGTAACCCATTAGTACAGGACTAGTTAAAGAAATTATGGTACACTGATACAGTAGAATACTAAAGCTATAAAAGAATGAACTCTTTATATACAACAAGCAAAAAACTCCAAGACTTGCTAGTAGAAAAAGCAAGTTACAGAACAATGCCTATAATACTATCTATACTTGTTAAAAGAGAGAAATAATATATTCACACACTCACACCTGTGTTATGTATGCATAAAATAGACCTCTAGAAAAAATTTCAAGAAATGCATGTTACTTGCATATGGAGAAGGTAGTTAGCAGGGAACAAAATGGAAGAGAGGCTTTCATTATTTGTCTTTCTTTGCATGGTGAACCATGTGACTGTACTGCACACTCAGAAATCTCTAAAGAATGCCTTCTAGTGTTTTTAAGATTTTATTTATTTGTTAGAGAGAGAGCGACAGAGCACAAGCAGGGGGAGCGGCAGGCGGACGGAGAAGCAGACTCCTCGCTGAGCGGGGAGCCAGATGCAGCACTTGATCCCAGGACCCTGGGATCATAACCTGAGCCGAAGGCAGGCACTTAATCAACTGAGCCACCCAGGTGCCCCTAAAGAATGCCTTTTTCACAAGGATGTGGAGAAAGGGGAACCCTCCTGGACTGTTGGTAGGTATGCAAACTGGTGCAGCCACTCTGGAAAACAGTATGGAATTCCTCAAAAAGTTAAAACTAGAACTACCCTAAGATGAAGACCATCTTTGAAGCTGTCCCTGAGTTTAGGGCTAAGAGAACACAGCAGCCCAAAAAGCCAGGAATGGAGACTGATCCTGCGGGATGAAGGGGTTCATCATGTTCATCATGGCAGATGACCTAAAGCAATTCCTGTATAAAAAATTACCCACTGTCCACAGACCTGTACCTCTGAAACAAACAGTGTGTTATATGTTAATAAAAAGAAAATAAAAACCACAATGAAAAAAAAATTGCCCAGTGTTGAAGGGCTCCATGCTATTGTTGGGTCACAAAGAACACCTGTTATTAAAGCGGCAATGATGGTGCTCCAGAGCATGCTTTCCGACTTGGTTTCTTATCTACTTTTGCCCTTGCAACAAACCAATGGAGCAAACTTGGACTTTCAAAAAATAAGAGTATCATCTGTTACTATAATACCTACCACGTCGTTCAATCCAATCATTTACCTCTGGTGGTGAGTTTCATAGCCAGCAGTAATGCCGGTACAGGACTCACTGTCAGACTAGAAAAGGAACTCGCTCTGTTATTTGAAGAACTGAGACAAGCTGTGGAAGTTCCTTAATCTGGCAGTGGTGTTGATGTACACCTTATTTTCATTACAGTGAAACAATATCAATCCAGCAACCTTGAGACCACAAAAATACTTGTATCCACATACTCCAGAAAGGGCCTCTTTTCCCACTTTATACCAAAGAGTCTATAGATATAAGTTATGGACAGATTGTTATTTTTTCTTATGTGGAGTCTTTTCTTATTTAGTGAGATCTGGGGATACCACAGAAATGGTTCAATACATCACAGCTCCCATGAAGTTAGTCCAGTCACCAAATATGCATGAGATTCTATTCAGTGGGACAGAATCAAAATGGTACTTTGATCCACTTGAGCCATTAAGTGCTCCCTATTATATAAAACGCCCAGTCCTGCAGAATGAAGCAGACCCTTTTTATTGTGAATGAGGACGTATTTTTCTTTATATTGTTTTATTTCTTTGCATTGAGTGTGAAGAAAAGAAAATGGCTTAGTAAAAGTAATAAAATCAGTATAATCACTAAAAAAAAAAAAAAAAAAACCTACCCTACGATCTAGCGATTGCACTACTAGTTATTTACCCAAAGAATACAAAAACACTAATTCAGGGGCACCTGGGTGGCTCAGTTAAGCACCTGACTCCTGGTTTCTGCTCAGGTCATGATCTCATAGTTGTGAGATCGAGCCCTGTGCCGGCCCAAGCTAGGCGTGGAGCCTGCTTAAGATTCTCTCTCTCCCTCTGCTTCTCTTCTGCGCCTCCCCCTCACCATTCTCCTCACCCCCATGCACGTTCTCTAAAAAAAAAAAAAAAAAACCATTAATTCAAAGGGATACATGTACCCTGATTTTTTTTTAAGATTTATTTGAGAGAGCGAGGAAGTAGCGGGAGGAGGGGGAGAGGGAGGGAGAGTCTCAAGAAGACTCTGCACTGTGCACAGAACCCAACGTGGGGCTCAATCCCACCACCCCGAGATCACAACTGGAACCAAAACCAAGAACTGGGCGCTCAACTGACCGTGCCACCCTGGACCCCAATGTTTATAGCAGCATTATCAACAATAGACAAATTATGGAAACAGCCCAAGTGTCCATCAATAAATGAATGGATAGAGAAGAGGTGGTATACATACATAATATAATACTACTCAGCCATAAAAAAGAATGAAGTCTTGCCATTTGCAATGACATGGATGGAGCTAGAGAGTATTATTATGCCAAGTGAAGTAAGTCAGACAAAGACAAATACTGTATGATTTCACTCATATGTGGAATTTAAGAAGTAAAACAAACGAGCAAAGAAAAAAAAAGAGAGGCAAACCAAGAAACAGACTCTTGAGAACAAACTGATGGTTACCAGAAGGGTGGTAGATGAGGGGAAGAGTTAAATAGGTGATGGGGATTAAGGAGTGTACTTGTGATGAGCACGAGGTGTGTGGAAGTGCTGAATCACTATATTGTACATCTGAAACTAATATTACACTGTATGTTACCTGGAATTTAAATAAAAACTTTAAAAAATGGGGCACCTGGATGGTTCAGTTGGTTAAGCATCTGCCTTCAGCTCAGGTCATGATCCCAGGGTCCTGGGATTGAGCCCCAATCCTGGGATTGTCCTGGGATCCAGCCCTGTGTAGGGCTCCCTGCTTAGCAGGGAGTCTGCTTCTCCCTCTCTCTCTCCACCCCTCCCCCCCGCTCGTGCTCTCCTGCTCTCTCTCTCAAATGAATAAATAAAAAAATCTTTAAAAAAACAAAATATCATAAAAACTAAAAAAAATAAAGAATCATAATTTAAGGGGTGCCTGGGTGGCTCACTCAGTTAAGTGTCTGTCTTCGGCTCAGGTTATGATCCCAGGATCCTGGGAATGATTCCCGCATTGGGCTCCTTGCTCAGCGAGGAGTCTGCTTCTCCCTCTGCCTGCTGTTCCCCCTGCTTGTGCTCTCTCTCTAACAAATAAATAAAATCTTAAAAAAAAAAAAAAAAAAAAGACCTAAAAGCATGCATTTTTGAATCCTTATCCCCTACCCATCTTATTTTCCTAGCTATATTTTCCTTTAGCTTAAATTTCTTTGGTGATTAAGTTCTTTTCTGTTATAATGTATGAATTTCAATAAGCATTATTAATCCATTCTACAATCCATCAGATAATTATATTTAATAATGATTAATTCTGTTGAATAAGTTGTGGGGATCTAATGTACAACATGGTACTATAGTTAATAATACTGTATCATATACTTGGAAGTTGCTAAGAGAGTAATTCTTAAATGTTCTCATCAAACACACACACACACAAGGTAATTATGTGAGGTCATGGAGGTGTTAATCATTTCATAATATATACATGTATCAAATCTTGTTGAACATCTTATATAATGTGTCAATTATATCTCAATAAATCTGGAAAAAACATTTAAACATTAAAAATGTAAACATTAAAACAAAATGAAAATAATAAATTCTGATCTAGCTACTGTCAATACTTTCAGATGAGTTTAAAATACTTTCAGCAACAGTAACATTAATATGTACCCATCCTGTCCCCCGCCAATGACCAAAGGACACCACTTTTAAAACTAAGCTAGCCAGGGGCGCCTGGGTGGCTCAGATGGTTCAGCGTCTGCCTTCGGCTCAGGTCATGATCTCAGAGCCCTGGGATCGAGCCATAAGTCGGGGGTGGGGGGGGGTCTCTACTCAGCGGGGAGTCTGCTTCTCCCTCTCCCTCTCTCTCCCTGCTTGTGCGCTCTCTCTCTCTCTCTCTCAAATGAATAAATCTTAAAAAATAAAATAAAATAAAACTAAGCTAGCTGAACTCATGGTTGCTGGCATCATTAGCCCATGCTCTACCCAACTGCAAAGTAAAACAACAATGTGTTTAAACCAGATTTCTTTAAATGACATAATTTTGTTATTTTGTAACTGTCTAAATGAGAAATCACTCTAATCCCAAATGTACACTAGCCTATCCTCCCTTTTCTACATCTATCAAATAGCTGTGCAACAACCAGACCAAAAAAAAAAAAAAAACCCCACCAAGAAACAAAAACAAACATCACTTACCAGTAGCATAGATGGCTTTGTAAAGCAAATAAATATTCGTTAAAACTTTCAATGGGCTTCTCTTGTAGCACATAGTCAATGCGCTGGCCTCCATTCAGCATTCCCACATTGATGGGTGGGACTTCTTCTTTAACTGCCACAGGGGTCTCTTCTGTGTTAACATCTGGACATAGAAGAACCATAACAACAATCTAAAAGCTTCCAGCCCGGGCGCCTGGGTGGCTCAGTTGGTTAAGCGACTGCCTTCGGCTCAGGTCATGATCCTGGAGTCCCGGGATCGAGTCCCGCATCGGGCTCCCTGCTCGGCAGGGAGTCTGCTTCTCCCTCTAACCCTACCCCCTCTTGCGCTCTCTCTCTCACTCTCTCTCTCTCAAATAAATAAATAAAATCTTAAAAAAATAAAAATAAAAATAAAAGCTTCCAGCCCTCCAAGATTGTCCTTACTTTCCCTCAGACTACCAAGTTTACAGTAGGATGAGGTACTCTCTGCTCAGAAAGCTTTCTGTACCTTCTTCCTCTCAAGCCCCTTAAAGCTTCTCCTCAAGTCACACTGATTTTGTTCAATCCCATTTTTTCTTTCCTCTACCTCTGATAGCCAATTCATTTGCCTCTGGTTTATAAACTAAATATAAGGAGGGATAGAAATCGTTAGGCAGTTGAAAATTAAAGCAAAAAGAATGCAACATTAACTGTGAAATTAAGAGGAGCGTATACTAGCTAGTGCCCAGCCAGGCAAATAAAACAGACCAATGAACACACAGACATTGCCCTAGTAAAGCAAGGTGCTTCATAGAGGAGGCTCCTAACACAACCCCAAGAGTTCCCAAGTGAGGGTTGTCTTTTAAAGCCTCTTTATCAGGTATTCAGCTTCTCTTGACATTTTTCCTCACAAATAATGTTTTTCCATAATTTGTGACTATTAGATAATAGAAAAGACTAGCAGAGCTGAAGGCCCATTAGGGCTCACTGTATTGGTCCTATACCATGGAGTTACTCTTATCTGACCTAATGTAGGATATCAAAGTGTACAGTATCACTGACCACTCAGCTTCTCTGAACTTGATTCAGATTCTGCTTCAGTTTCTTCTGTAGTTTCTGAAGCCTGTAAGGCAGGGTATGGAGCTCTGGTGAAAGACTTCCAGGCCATCCGAAGTGAACCTAGCAAGTTGTTCTTAAGGTCCATACTCATCCTGGTCAAGCCCTCTCTCAATTCTGAAACATATTTGAATAAAGAACATTACATGGTTTACAAAGAGTTTAGGGTCCAACACAGTTTGAATGAGGTCCAGTCAGTTTGCAATGACCAGACAGTATAGAATTACAAGTTCTGTATTCAGATTTACCTAAGTGCATTCGCTTCCTGCCTTTATGATGTGGGATCAGCATTGGCTCAAATTCCACTCCTGGGACCACCATCGGTTCAATCCTATAGGCCACAGGATCAAACTATACGGGAAAAATAATAGCTACAGATACCTCTGCTGAAGAAAGACAGTCTTAAAACTGTGAATCAGGCAAAAATAATTATAAGCTCATAAAAAAACAAACAGTTGTTTTGCTCCATCACTTTCAGATTCACACTAATAAAAATTGTCTCATTACCACAAAATAGTATAGAAAAAAGCAAATCAACACAATAGAAAATTATATGCTCTTCATCAATAAGCTCTAATATTCAGGTAAAAACACAAGAGCTGTCCAATGCTTACAGGGTGATAGATATTGAAGAAACCTTTGCATGTTGGAAATTTATAGTTGGGATCGATTCTTTTTAGTCCTCGGACAGTAAGGAACATTCCAATGGGAGATCCAAAGGCAAAGAATATTTCTGGTTTGTAGATGAGCCGGGGGTATTTTACAGACACCTGGAAAGAGGATATAAAAGTACCTCTCACTGATAACAAAAGTGACATCTGTTCCTACCATACCAATGGCAGGCAATAAAATGACTCAAGAGAATTAATTAGTATTGTTACCTGCCCAATACCAACATCCAGATAGTCACCATTTCCAGTGGCGTCAGTTTTACTGCAGAAGCCTGATTCTTTGGGGATGTCAGATATAGTCACCCCTGAAGCTGGCTGCAGGGTTGGTCTATTAATACCCTAAAGAATAAAATAATTCTGTGGAGCTGTTATGTTGTAAAAATATCCAAAGAATTATACAGTTTTTCACTGATTTGAAAGAATACTTAGGAAAGTTTTGAATAATTCTAGGAAGAGTCTCAGAAAACAAGATAAAGCTGATGAAAACAAGATAAAGCTGATGAAAACAAAAGTTGTCTTAAGTGATGAACTGACATCCCTACATTCTCTAAATCAGTGAAAGCTGTACAGAGCTATCTGGGTGGCAGTTGAAACTTTAGGCGACCATTATGAGAAAAACAACAGCAGAGCATGATGAAGAGGAATGCCGAGGGCTGCTAAGGGGTTCAATGAAGCACAATGCCCTTTTAAGGAGTAGATGTCTCTGTGGGTATAGAAAATGATACAGATACTGGGCCAAGAACTGGACCTTAAATAAGAACTAAACAATCTGCTACAAAATTGAAAAATAACTACTAAGATATGGAAAGGAATTTAGTGGCCGAAAAAACTGAACGTAAAAGTACTATTATAACATGGATAAACCTCAAGTTCATTATTCTAAAGTCAAAGAAGCCAGTCACAAAAAGCCACATACTGTATAATTCCATTTAGAGGAAATGTCCAGAACAACAAAATCCGTAACGACAGAAAACAGACCAGTGGTTCACAGGAGGGAGGAATGGGGAGTGACTGCTAATGGGTACGGGGTTTCTTTTTAGGATGATGTAAATGTTCTCAAATTAGATAGTGGTAATCGTGACACAACTCTGTGAATACACTAAAAACGACTGAATTGTATACTTTAAAAGGGTAAATTTTATGGTATGTGATATGAATTATATTTCAATAAAGCGGTTATGAAACCCCCCCCTCAAAAAAAATGGAATGGTGGGAAGACTCCAGGGGAGACAAGACTTCTGAAGCTAATAACATTTTTTAAGGATATCAATTAAGAAAATGTGTTTGGGGCACCTGGGTGGCCCAGTCGTTAAGCATCTGCCTTCGGCTCAGGTCATGATCCCAGGGTCCTGGGATCGAGCCCCTCATCAGGCTCCCTGCTCCACGGGAAGCCTGCTTCTCCCTCTCCCACTCCCCCTGCTTGTGCTCCTGCTCTCGCTTGCTCTCTCTCTGTCAAATAAATAAATAAAGTCTTTAAAAAAAAAAAAAAGGAAAAAGAAAGAAAATGTGTTTAATTTCTAAAAGGAGAGCCAAAGATCAGTTAACAAAATTGCTTAGCTGCCTAAACATCTCACAAAGCACAAGGATACAAGGATGTCAAAAACCATTTAATCCTACAAGCCATATTAAGCACATACCGTTGAATTTTTTCTGGTCCTAAAGTAGTTTAATATCTTCTTTCTTGGTCCTAAGGGAATTCCCATTTCCTGAAGATCTTTGTCAGTACAAAAAGCCTAGGCACAGAAAATCAAATATCCTTATTTCTAGGCAAAATAAAATGAATTAAATGTCCTGTTCTCTGAGAGGAATAAGACCTAAGTACTATTGTTCTTTGCTTTACATTAATAGGGCTCCCTAGTGGTACAACATCATTAATAATTTTGAGAAGAGTACTTTATTCATAAAAGCCTAAAGAAGAATAAAAAGTACCAATACTATAGTATCAATGCTACAGTAATACAGATGACATTGTATTATATATATATATATATATATATATAATATATACCCTACAGAAGTGGGTATCTACCTGCATGACACAAGAACACTCCTTGATTTCCATGCTGACTTAGATGTCACATTCCTGAGAAAGATTATATCCCTACTCATGGACATAAGCGCCACTCACCTGATTAGGTTAAGGCTTCCTTCACCCTCCCAGACTACATTAGTCTTACTATACGTTCTTAATACTATTGTGTACTTTTCCAACTTAGAACTTACCACAATTGTAATGAATTATATTTGATTATTAATACGTGTCTTCCCCACTAAGCCATAAACATAATGATGTTTATGTTTATATAACATGTTTATGGTTTACATATCTTACTGACCACTCTCTCTCTAGTACTTGGTAGAATATGCCTGATCATATAAAGCATTCACTAAATACCTATTAAATGAATGAATGTATTGCAAGCCTGAAAAAAAAGCACAAAAAGGTGGCAGAAAAACCAAAAACAAATAAGTAAGCAAATATCAACAGCAGAGCTCCTGAGGTATAACAGAAAATAAGCCGGAATAATTAGTGGTCCCTTTATTCTTACTCTCTTTTCTGAGCTATGTTGTTTTTTAGTCTTTGCTCTATCACTATATGTTTGTCAATATGGTTTCTCTGAACTCTGCTCTCCAACAAAGCAAAGATCACTTTATAAGATAAAAACACATAGATAATGCTAAAGGATATTACTACTGATAACAGAGTTTTTATGACAAAAGTGCTTCTAAAGGGCAGGCTCTTAATCAGCTGTAAGATGAAGATAAGCATAAAAATACTAAAAATAGTATAGCATAAAGTTTTAAAAGATTATTTTTACCAGAGCTTCCTTATCTACTTTCTCCTTCTCAAAGATATTAAAGAATTCAGAGAGTTGAAGTTTCTTCAAACCTTCCTCTAGTGTCAGTGTGTCTCCTTCATCCATGACAATATTTGGTGCATCCTAAAAATTAAGTTGTAAAGCTCATATTCTCTAAATTCATTTAGATTGTCCTGTATTAGTACTACTAGCAATAAAAATAATGTACTATATAAGAGTTCTATATAAAGATATACTTAGCTTTAAATAAACTGTAATTTGTACAAAATTTAAATTAAGTAGTTAATCTCTAAGTGTTGCAACTTTAGATGAAACAATGTTTTTAAATAAATGATTATCAAAGTGTTTCTTCATCTTCATTAACAAAACATTTATTGAGTTCTTATTATGGAAAAAGTGTTTAAGACATAAAACAATCTAAAATAAAGCCCCTGTCCAGGAAGAACTCACAAAAAAATAAGTCTAAAATCTAAAAATCTGTCCCAAGAAATAGTACAAGAGAAGTATATCTGTATATCTAAATTACCTTTTCACTGTCCATATCCCCCAAAGATTCTTTCTGATTTGTTAGTATATCAAACAATATAAGCGAACCTAAAATAGAAGAAAGGACAATTTCTAAGTATTGGCACTACATAGCTTTTATACAAAAAGTATTAAGCCAAATACCCATGTAGCAAAATCTATGAAGCAGGAAGTCTTTCTTTCCAATCCACCACTGCCCTTCCAACCCCTTCCAAATTCTTCATCACAGACCAGTTCTAGACCTCTAAATCTGATATGGATAAAAGACACAGTACTTCAAAAACAGGGGTCCTTAATATGTGATAGTGCTCTCTGGTCACACGGAATTAATTTGTTACCTAAACTATGACCGGCAATGGATACACCCCCTTTGAAATCAGGGTTCCTCTGAAGAAAAAGTGTATATATTCGGTTCATTTCAGAAGCAACTGTGTCCACTATAGTCTGACAGTAGGTGGGGCTATTGTAGAAGAAGACATCCAGAATTGTGTCATTGGTAAAGTGCCTTAGGCGGTTAATGCTGGGCAGAGTTATTCGCTGCAGATCTCTGACAAAAAAAAAAAAAAAAGGTATTTTAAGCAGAAAACCTAATACATTCCATAACTTCCTCTAAGTTATTACCCAGCTTAGCCTTCAAGCTTAGACTTAGATATTTAAAGATACAAGAGACAAGTACCTATAAGAAGAAGTACAAAGGACTCAGACGTGTCTAATTACGTCAAAACGATGTGATCAGCACGTCAGTGAGAATCTCTACAAGACAAACACCCATTTCTTCAATACATAAATTGCAAGGAAATAAGAGATGGAAAGGTAATCAAGAGATTAAGAGAGACTTAACAGACATATCAACAAGGGGCTCCTGGATGGCTCAGTCAGTTAAGCGTCTGCCTTAAGCTAGGTCATGATCCCAGGGTCCAGGGATCAAGCCCTGTGTTGGGCTCCCTGCTCAGTGGGGAGTCTCCTTCTTCCTCTACCTCCTTCTCCCCCTGCTTGTGCTCAATCTATCTCTCTCTGTCAAATAAATAAATAAAATCTTTAACCTAAATAAATAAATAAAATGTGTGTGTGTGTATACGTGTGTGTGTGTATATATATATAAACTACAACATTTACTAGACAATTGGAAATTTGAACACTGTATATTTGCTGATATTAAGAATTTCTTTAGGGGTGCCTCGGTGCTCAGCAGGCAGTCTGCTTGTCCCCTCTCCTTCTGTCCCTCCCCCTGCTCGTGCAAGCTCTCTCTCTCAAATAAATGATCTTTAAAAAAAAAAAAAAGAATTTTTTTAGATGTGATAATGGTGTTATGGTTAATATATTTTAAAAAGTTCTTTCCGATATACAAACAAACATTTATAGATGAAATGATATAGTATCTTAAGATCTGGTTCAAAAATAATATGGTGGCAGGATGGGCAGTAGACAGAGGTTGAAAAATAATGGATAGAGCAGAACTGGCCATGTGTTGAGGCTTGTTTGCCCTGGGTAATCATAATCTGTACGTGAAGATTCCTTATATAAGCTATTTTTTTTTACAAAATTCTCTATAATAAAGGATTTTTTTTTTTAAAGATTTTATTTAATTGACAAGAGAGAGAGACAGCATGAGAGGGAACACAAGCAGGGGGAGTGGGAGAGGGAGAAGCAGGCTTCTGGCCGAGCAGGGAGCCCGATGCGGGGCTCGATCCCAGGACCC